GATGCTTTAAATAGTGCAAAGTGGAGGGAGGGGGTAAGAGCGATTGCCACTAGTTTAAGGTGAATCCGGCCACCCTCGTCTTCGGGGACCAAACCGGATTTAAAACTCTGGACTACTACATTTGAGAGAAGTGTTGGCCCAAAGTAAAGATTGATATGGGACTCCTAGAAACATATACAACATGTAAAATACATTGGTTGTATACATGAAATTCACACATGCTGCGCGACACCACCACCCATTAGCAATTTATAAATATCAAAAGTGAGTTTATCAGTTTTGACCAAAATGCTTGAAAATATGACGGCAATCAGTAAATGTATATACAATTATTCTGTTGGCTCTCAAATTAATTTAATGTACAATATACATGATAAAACCCATACATGTTTTCAAACAACATAATGAAATTTTAAAAATTTGGCAGTAAAATTACTGGTATAATCTGATTTCAGGGACTAAAATAGGATATTACCATGGTATAATAAAAAAATACCAGGAAAAATAACAAGAAACATTTCCCCCTCATATGCCAAGAAAAACCTTGCAGGACAAATACTGGACAAAGTTGTTTGAGCTGTTTTAACCTCCCCTAAAGAATTTGTTTGAGCCACACCTTATTGTAGATTCCAAACTGGTTGATTATTAATTATGAAATTTATAGAAAATTGAATTTAAAATGTTGAGTTATTAAAAGTACAAAAGAATAGTTTATGACTGAGAAAACACCAACATTTACAATCTCTTGTTTATATACCCCAACAAATTGGGTCAGAAAATACTGGCCATAATTGAGCAGGATGAATATTACAGTAATCATAGTGGAAGGGTAAAATAATCACAAAAAATAGAAGAAAGGAGAAAAGTAGAGGCAATATTAGGCTTGGAATAAATACTAATCAAAATTGGAGGGCAAAATAATCACCAAATTTCAGTTAGGAAAACTACTTTTAGCTGGAACATGACTCATCAAAATAACACATCAGGTTACTGCACTATTAAAATAACAGACTTTGGACAGGAATTGACCTTAGTAATCTTAACATCTGAATCTTAATGCTGTAAGGGACGACGTCAACAGATCGATGTCGGATAAAAAACTTATTTGCTTTAGTTTGGGGGTGGGGGGTTTTGACCTCAAAAAGTTTCCATCCTACAAAAACGATTTTATTTTTTAATGAAGTCAAAAAAAATCTTGAAGTATTGGCAGTTCGTTTTTTTTCTATCCAACCGAAGACGAGAAAATGGTTTGGTCCGTGTGTAAATATATGTGTTAAATGAGGTGCATTTGTAAAGTCTTTTTACACCCACCCGACAACCAACTGATATGCAATACTACTGTACGATTATCCATTTGTATTTAATGGTGAATATAGTCTGACGCCATGACCAATATTTATCAATTAAGTTTCAGTGGGGGGTGAGGGGGTTTTGAAAAAAACTAAAGGAATTAAGTTTTTTATCCATCATCGATCTATTGGCGTCGTCCCTAAATGCCTTCACTGTTGTCCATACATATCCATGTTTGAAAAAAAACAATAAAATAAAAATGTTGAGTTATTATATTTCCCAAATATTATAAAAAAATATACATGCAAATCACAGCAAAAATGTACTTGGTTGAGAGTTCATACTGGTTAACAACACGTTTCACTTTAAAACTATTCCAATAAAACCACTTTGAGTTATTGTAAAACAAACAGAATTGTAGACATAACAGTAAGCTGGAGAATAAAAATGGAAAATACAAAAATTTGATTTACTAAAAGTTTATTTGATTTATTTATCATTACAATTTACAGATATACTTGACTTTAACTTAACTTGACAAGGAGCCTAATGATTACAATTTGACTTCTTTTGGTCTGAATCAAATGTTGAATTGATTACAGAGAAAATGATCAACAAGAGAAAGTATTGTAATAATGTAAATTAATTTAAATATAATAACACTTTATTTCAGAAAATTGTTGAATGCATTGATGTCAGTAGCTGTCATACTACCGGTATTTTAAATTGGCATTGCTTAGTATAAAGCTATTTATAATTTATTAGCCAGTGAGGTTTTCTTTTAGTCAAATTATCATTTCCTGTTATTATTACAAGCTTTCTCATTAATAACATAAAGTTATTACGGTATGAGAATATTACACAAAGACTGCATGGTTTTGAAGAATGCATAGCGACAGTTGATGTGATCCTGAACTGCCTAAGTTCATACTTTGCGTTTTTCTCTTGATAACCTTATTATATATTATAATGTCATGTGATACACAACTAATGTTTCACTATCAGATGTATAATAAATAATTTTCTCTTATTTTCTGTGTGTTTGTTGTCATGCTTGAATTTGGCATTTATCTTGAATACTCCTTTGCATTTGCAAAACTGTAGTAATTTAATTTTTTGAAATAATGTACTATTGTACTATCAAATTAGAGAGAATTGATAATTTACCATAGCAACCAAAGTAGTCAAATAGGTTCATTTCACTGTAGAATGCTTGCCCCCCCCCTCACTATAACATGATTACATTTTTATAGGAACTATAATAGAATGGAAAACTGGATGAAGTAGGGAATGGACTTTCTTAAAAATATTATTCAGCAAACAACATTAATTGAAAACTGACATGGAAAGTATTTGTTATTCCACGTTGAAAGTCACTTCAGCTACTCCAGGTACATGCATACCACAGGTGATGATATCACCAGGTTTGACTGGTCCAACTCCGGCAGGTGTTATTCTACTTTGAAAGTCACTTCAGCTACTCCAGGTACATGCATACCACAGGTGATGATATCACCAGGTTTGACTGGTCCAACTCCGGCAGGTGATCCAGTTAGTATCAGGTCACCTTCCTCCAGCGTGATGTACTGACTCATAAAACTTATTAGTTTAGGAACGTCAAAAACCATGTCTTTAGTGTTGCCATCTTGTTTCATTTCACCATTAATTTTCAACCATAGTCCAAGATCCTTAATGTTCTCTATCCTGTCTTTAGGAATAAAGTCACCAACTGGACAAGCAGTGTCAAATCCCTTACCAATGGTCCATGGTAAGCCTTTCTGTCGAGCTTCAGCCAACATATCAGCGGCTGTCATATCAAGAGACACAGTGTAACCACCAATGTGTTTCATGGCATTGGATTCAGTGATTTGAAATCCTGGTTTACCAATGATCACTCCAACTTCAACTTCATGGTTGAGCTTCTTACATCCTAAAGGAATCTAGTGCAGAAACAAAAGGTTTCAAGTGAAATAGTTTTCATTTGGAATGCAACGTTTGGTTGTATGAGGACTTTAACAAAATAAGATAAATTTCTGCACTTTATTCTGCTAAAGTTTAGCTGCAAATTGAACACATTTTCATCATTGTTCTCTGATTGCTACCCAGTATGGTAATTTAAAAAAAAAAATATTTTGTAGGTATTATCAGAGATTTTTTGAGAATGATGATCCAAATATTTGAAGACCCTAAGAATAATTAATCATGCTTGCATGTCAGTAAGACTTGCTCTAACTTATTTATTTATCACTTTATTCAAAATGCAGAGCCAAATTTTACACATTGGATCTCTAGCTCTGATGAGGGCTGAGATGTCAGAATAGAATACTAACAAATTGTGATAAGGAAACATGGGTCATTTACACACACTGAAAACAGGAGCGACAAACTCGGTAACTATTTTCACTGAGAAAATACTAGTTCAATTAAATATTAATTTTGTTAAATGATGACACCTTAATTGGTGTGCTCTGTGTAATGTATGCTGACAGTGGTTTTATAAATACTATTGGTTGCCTTACCTTAATTGGTATGCCCTGTGTAATGTATACTGACAGTGGTTTTATAAATACCATTGGTTACCTTACCTTAATTGGTGTGCCCTGTGTAATGTATACTGACAGTGGTTTTATAAATACCATTGGTTGCCTTACCTTAATTGGTATGCCTTGTGTAATGTATACTGACAGTGGTTTTATAAATACCATTGGTTACCTTACCTTAATTGGTGTGCCCTGTGTAATGTATGCTGACAGTGGTTTTATAAATACCATTGGTTGCCTTACCTTAATTGGTATGCCCTGTGCAATGTATACTGACAGTGGTTTTATAAATACCATTGGTTACCTTACCTTAATTGGTGTGCCCTGTGTAATGTATACTGACAGTGGTTTTATAAATACCAT